ATAAACAAAAGTTAAAACAGTGATGATTATAGTATCTATGTAGATCGCATGCTGTAGTGTAAATATCATTGTAGACCACATGCTATAGAAGCACCAAATTTTGTTTGTAAATTTAGAACTACAACTAAAAATGAAAGTAGCCTGTAGCAAACATTAATGAATTTAAAAAACTAAGTTGTTATTGTTAATTGGACTGAATTTCTTCACATAATAAAAAATAACCTACCCATTGAAACACATTACAATAACTGATATCAAAATTGGGATTATTTTGGTGAAAATAAAACAGAACTTTGACTACACTTGAACTTCATCTGTTTAAGATGATGACAACAAAGGCAAGAAGTGAGATCAAAATCTTGTTAGAAATGATTTTTGTGATAAGACATTCATCAAAACAGAATGCCAGAAGATCATAGACTGCTTAAACCAGAACAGGTACATCCCCTCTTTCATCAAAAACACCCTGAAGACAACCACAACAGAAAGAAAAGATAAGGAAAACATTACCACTACTACTATTTACTTCCCCTACCTGCAAAATTTCAGTGAAAAACTAACTCATAACCAAGAAATTCAACATAGATGTCCGGTGGAAATCCTACAAGACATTAAGATCCATTCTGGTGAAAAACAAAGATAAATTTCCCAATGAAAAACACAAAAACATCATTTATGAAATTCCATTTTCCTGCAATGAAACACACATTGGAGAAATGAGAAGACTCACAACAAGAATAAAAGAATATGAAGACAGTACAAGACTCATGCAAACACAAAATTCAACCATTGCAGAACACACCATATCAACTGGACACAAAATCAACTGGGAAAAAATCATCAACATAGAAAAATTTTGGAAGACAAGAAAAATTAAAGAATCCTTTTACATTAACGCAGTAAAACCTTCACTAAACAGAGATTCCAGATAAGAGGTGAGTAATCTGTGGCTACCATTAGTTGAATCTACAGTAAGTCTTGCCACCAATCAGAAACAGGGATAGACCAACCAATCATAACATGCCCTCCACAATCCACCAGAATACTATAAAGACTGACAAAACCATACACACATAGTTGCCATTACATTAGAGTAGAGTAATTGAGTTCATGGTAAGTGTTGGAAAAACTCAAGGTATGTTGTATTTCTGATTCCTACTTAACTATACAATTTGTTCTTAATCCACTTTTTCTAGAACAAGCACATACCAGTCGTGTATTGCTTATCAAACAGCCCTTTTCAGGGCTATGTGAGAGTTTTGAGTTTTTTTTCTTTCAAGTACGATTTCATGCAGATGAGATTGCAGGGTTCAGCCCTGTCATTTCTCGAGTGCCTGAACATGCTACAGCAAGCCGAGAAGAACTGCCCCAGCAGTGACCTTGAGCCCTTGTCAATCAGCTTGGTCTCAGACAGCTCTGCCTTCCTGACCACCATGCTGACCAACTCACCTTAGGGTTCGCCCAACATCCCACCACAGAAGAGGAAAATGCCCAAGACACAGACTAGCCCAAAAAAGGATCGAGGCCACCGATCACAACCACAAGTTCTATGATGCTGGCCACCACAAATTTCAAGATGCCACCTACCCCTCCAGCCTTGATCATTAAGGGAGTTCCAGGATCATTCCACCAGCTGGATATTGTCTGGGAACTACATAGGCTATTCCCCAGAATAGCCTTGAACCATGTTCATTTCCTGCCAAAGGGAGGCATCTGTATCAAGTGAACTGTGCCACAAGACTATTGCAAACTTATGAAGCCCTGACCCTCTGATGCCTTCACTGGAGCAAAAGTTTCCAACCACATCGGCAGAAAAACTCCTTGGAAAAAAAAATCTAGTCATCCGAGGAATTCCAATGGATATTACCACTGATAAGATCCAGCTAGAACTGGAAGACCAAACCTTTAATATCACCAAGTTTGAGAGGATAAAGTCAGCTAGAACTGGCAACATCACCCCACTCATGAGAATCATCATAACTGATCTCAAGCTAGCTGAGACACTCATCCGTGATGGAGTCAGCCTTTTATACACCCATCACCGAGTGGAGCCCTGCAAAACACCACCAACACAGCCTCTCCAGTGTTACAACTACCAGCGCTTTGGACACACCAAGACAACTGGCATGGCAGCCTCCAGATGTGTCCACTGTGGAGACCACCACCTAGTCTCCGACAGCCCTAAAGCCCGAGAGTCGATGAAGTGTGCCAATTGTAGTGGCCCTCACGCTGCCTCAAGTACCTGATGGTCAACAACCTGAAGAAAAAGTTATCTCCCTATTTCTCCCTCAGATAGAACAGCAAAGAACTCCCAGCAAGCTAACAGTTGTCCAGCTCCCACAGCCAGGAAGACTCTACCACTGCTTCCCACACCACAAGCCTTGAACATCCACACAACAGAGATAACAAACCCAGCCTTTTGGTTGGCTGGGAATCTTTTCAGGTTACTCCAGTGGTAAGTGATCACATAGTAACAGCAAATTTCTACCTCCACCTCTCTCTGGTTTCACTTTATAGATGGGATTATCTTTCATTTTTACCACTAATATTATGTGGACCTTATCTTCTCAATAGGACGAAACCTTACCAGGTCTTTTCCACTCAGGCAGATTTCAAATGAGGACCCAGCTACCAGGTTGCAAGTCATGTCCATGGACTCTTTTTGCCATAATATACTTTCCCTCTGTCTTGTTTTGAAGCAATCCGATATGCCTCACTCATTCTCCTTTGCCAGTCTGTCACATAGTCTTGGTAAGTCTTGATTTCCATCAATCTTTAAACTGAACATGAGCAGGAAATAAGGCGAAAATCCTGTCACCTTACTATGTGTGCACAGTCTTTGCAAGGAATGTTTTCATCAACTTTCTGTTGATTAAATCTGAAGCTTGGTCTTTCCCTTGCAGATGATAGGGTATCATGTGTGAACCAAATACCCCAAATTTTTGTTTTAATCTTGCAAACATCTGGTTCTCAAACTTCTTCCCTATGTAATGGTGGATCTTACTTTATAAACCAAATAGGACAGCAAAGTCATTAATGATCTTCTCTGCAGACATTCTTTGTGGCATATATTTGCACAAAATGGTTATAATGGTCCATGACTATCAAGATGTATTCATATCCAAGCATTGAAACACTGAATACTTCCTAGTATATTTCTTCAATGCACTGTTTCGTGTAGCTGCCCATATCCAGTGGCATCAGCATTGGACTTGCCTGAGTGATAGTTGATGAAGAAATTGTCTGCCTACTTTGGTTGGCAAATTTAGACTGCTTTAGACAGATCACAATGCCAACCAAAGTAGGGGTTGTTTGTTTGTTTGTTTTGAATTTCGCGCAAAACTACACGAGGGCTATCTGAGCTAGCTGTCCCTAATTTAGCAGTGTAAGACTAGAGGGAAGGCAGCTAGTCATCACCACCCACCGCCAACTCTTGGGCTACTCTTTTACCAACGAATAGTGGGATTGACCGTCACATTATAATGCCCCCATGGCTGAAAGGGCGAGCATGTTTGGTGGAACGGGGATTCAAACCCGCGACCCGCAGATTATGAATCGAGTGCCCTAACCACCTGGCCATGCCGGGCAAGTAGGGATTGAAAATCATTTTAAAATCTATCCAACTAGGATCACTTTACTTGTTTGTGTACTTTTTATTGCAGCATTTATTTTGTTTTGGATACCTCTTATAGCAATTCTACGAATAACCAACAATCCATACTTTCCATTAAATTTTTTTTTCTTTCCTATTTATGAAAACTAAAAAATCATTAATATTAGTAATGGACTCCTTTTTTGGAAAACGTGGCTTAATGATAAAACAAAACATGAATGTAAAAACAGAAAGCATTTATTAGGAGTTTCGGAATAATCATAATTCCATCATCAGTAATCTGGTGGTACAAAGCAAACAAACAATATTTGTTATTACAACATAAATATTTACATAAGAAATATACAATTCGAATATACAAATATAACACGAGAAAATGAAACTGAGGCACAAGTAAAACAGTTAAAATAGGTTTAAATACAGTGAAGACTGTGTGTTATTTAGGGATGGGAGAAGAGTTTTTATGTGTAATGTTTCCTTTATAAGAAGTTCAGTATCATGTTTGGCTGCTGAAAGAATTTTAAAGTTTGAGAGAGAAATTGGATGTCCTGTTTTTGTATTGTGTTGATAGATAGTGGAGTTGGGAGGGTTTGTAACCTTTCTTCCAGTTTTTATAGATATGCCCATTTGTTCCATGCTTTTACTTTAAGGTGATATTTGGTTTCACCTTATAGCCTTATAGTCTCTGCACATGTATAAGTAGATGAGATGTAAAAAATGGGCAGTCGGCAAACGAATCTTTGTAGCGGAAAAAATTTAATATTAAATTACCTAATAAACTGAGTAATAACTTTTGAACTGAACAGTCTTGTATATCCAACAATGGAACTCAAATATAATAAATGTTCCTAAGCATTGGACAAACTTGTGAATTATTTGTTCATAAAATTGATGAGATAAATTAGCTTTTTCCCTGTTTCACATACTGGTCATGACATTTCTGTAGTAAACAACCACAGAATCGACTGAAAAATCCCTACTCAGCAGTATATCATGGGATTCACATGCAAATTTAGAAGTGGACAGGATATGACCATCTAGGAATTACTGAGCCTATTCATTTATATTTAGTAATGTAGTAAACAAAATGTTGATAAATATAACATATGTAGTCTATTCTTATTTCTCCAAGAAATGAAGTTTTAATTTTGATCTGTGTATGTGTGTTTTGTATACCATAAACAATATATTCAGAGCAAGTTTTGATAGTAAAACAATTCATTTTTTTTCAGTGATGTAACTAAAAATGCTAGCTATTATCTATACAAAGTTTTCTAAATGAAAAACATAATAATGAAATATTTATGAAAAAATTACGAAAAGTAAATAATATGAAGTTGCCAGTTATTATACAGCTGTTTCCTGAATAAAAATTTTAATTACTTACTTTCCTTCTTCATTTGGAACTATTAAACCAACATTGCTAGGCCTAACTGTTGATCCAGCCCAAAAGAAAGTATCTGAAATATAAATTCCTTTATTGTTTAAATTTTTATTCATTTCATATTTATGAATTCTAAACAACCTATATTTGTAGTATCTTTAATACACACAGGTACACTCATGCTAAACTTGCCAAATTCAACTCTTACAAAAGTATTTCTTGCTATTAATCAAAGTTGGAATTTTGGTTTGATCCCAACTAATTACTAAACATTTAAGAATAAAAAATCTAGCATTATACAGAGATAGTAATAGGATTTTTTAAAACTTAACAACATATATCAATATATATATATATATATATATATATATATATATATACACAAACTAATAAACAGCAAATCAAAATGAAGATTACTCAAAGCTGTTGAAGTGCATTAACACTGTTTAATGAATGAATAAATAATACAGTCTCCAAACAGTTAACCCTACCAATACAACAGTGGTCATTTTTATAAACAATACAAATTTTTACAATTAAAGACCAAGAATACAGATGGATGTTCATTTGTCAATTTGATAACTTGTCTTAAAATGTAAAATATCTTGAAGTTTACCCTTGTAAATGGCCTTTTTTGCACTCAGCATGTAACTAGCATTGGAGGAAAAACTAAAATTTAATCTTATTAGATGAACAGCCTTTCACTGTTCTTGACTATGTTTCTACCCTGTGAGAAGAGAGAATATTTCATATCTCTCCAAGAAAGCATCCATATTGTTTTTCTGTTCATCAAATTTGGGCAGCTGAGATTAGCTGGCCCTGACCCCATTGTCATTCTTGGGTCCTTCATCTTTTTGTTGGGCAAGCTTGGCGATCTCAACAAAAAAGATTATTCTTTCTATTATTATGCTTCTACATTGTGATCAACAGTAACTCCTTCAATACTATAAAAAATGTACAAAGTGAAATTTATAGCCACCTGCATCATAAAACTGGCTGTATAAGATTGACACTCACTCCAGTTATTGAATATGAAGCTGGTATTTCATCTCTAAGTATTCTCTGTGCCACTAAAACGATACCAAGTTTGGAGCCAAAAAATGAAAGTCCCTCTGAACATCTCAGCTCTTGTAGGATAGCAAAAGGTTTGGGAAGAAATAAACAAAACAACACTGATGATATACAAAATTATAAGCCTTGATGACATAACTTATAATCACCTCAAAATTTCTAAGAGTTCCCTTCTTGTATTAGTTTCATTTAGCCTAAGCATAGTGTTAAGAAAAAGTTGTAATAACTGCCTTGCTTTAGAGAAAAGATATACTGTCTGACTAAAGCTTTTACTTGTGGATCTGTGAAAATAGTGAAAGATGATTATAAAGTAAATTGTGAATGATATTGAGATGATTCTTTTATCTTCCAAAAAAAGACCATTACATTTCAATGGATTCCATATCACACAAATGTTAAAGGCAACAACAACAAAAAAAAAACATATCAGCTTGCCAAAAATGGCACTCTCCTTCACCATCCAAACTTAGCCACAGTTGAAAGCACAACTTGCTTGCATGATATAAATCCTTCCAGCCCAAATTTGGCAGAGCTGTAATAAAGGATAGATTCTGACTTTTGAAGGTTTGGAACACACACCTCAACAAAGGTCCAAACCTTCAATAGTACTAATTTGTATAATTTACTGATGACATCACCAGAGCTACTATTTTGTATTTGAGTGAAAACCCTTTTATTTTATAGGTAATCCATACAAATTTACATGTAGTTAAAAGTATTATAGAGAGCAGTAATCCTATTGTTTCCAATCAAGAGAACTTGCAGCTGACTTAAGCAAAATAAGTCTTTATTTAAAAGTCACCATTCCAAGCACTTTAACAATCATAGTATTTTTAACATAAAATTATTCATTAATTAAACATTAACGTTATTAGTGTTAGCATATATTTTATGTTTCATATTGTTACATCTCCGTTCGTTAATTAACTTTCCGTAACTTCGTTCCGACGAAACTTTAGCGACACAAGTCCTTAC